CTGTTTATTTTTTGTTGTAGCTTTTGTACTACCCTCATCACTGCTGTTATTTACCACTTTTTCATTATCAGTCCCATTGCTGTCTTTAATGCTCTTTACTGAACTACTAGAACCACTTTCACTACCGCTAGAAGCTTCTTTAACTTTACTATACACACTAATATTTTCTTTACTGCCGTTATCACTTTTTCCGTTTAGATTCTCAAACCTTGCTAGGATTGCTTTGACGGAAACTTTCGTTTCAATTTCCTCAGGTATGGTCTCCATGCGACCCGTGATGGAATCTGATCGACTATCCCTATCAGATCTGTCGGAACCAATGTATCCGTATAGTTTTTCTGGTTTTGAATACTTTTGAGCAGCATTTTGAGCATAAACTTCACACTTGACGGTAAATGAGTTTTTTGTATCGGCTCCAGAGTCTGAATCATGCGAATCATCACTGATGCTTTCCGACGGGTTGGAAGAATTAGCTAAACTGTCTAAAGACCGAGCCGGGAAGTTTTCGGATATGTTTTTTTCAAATTTTTGTTGACCCCACTTTGTTTTTTGCATCTTTTTTATTGTTCTTTAGTTTAAAACATTTTAAATACACTTTTATTTATATTCGGGCTCTATAAAACCATATTAACCATATTCCAGTTCTTACTAAGAATAGAAGAATAGCTATTTACTTCAATTTTAATAGTATTCTTCCTTGAAACAGGAGAAACCTACGGACTATATCAAAAGATTCTAGAAATTTTTTATCAAGAAAAAGAGAGTCATAAGAATACAAGACGGAAAAGGAAAATAATTGATCCAAAATGTATTAAAGTTGTTCCTTATATACGATTTTCAACACTGGACTTTTTCGTCCAGACGACCATACGACACATAAGGCAAGGAAAACGAAAGGAAATAAACGCAGTAAGAGATACTTCAAACCAAATACAAATAAGCCCAGAACAAGTAGCTAGGGTATGGAAAGATCATTATGAGAAAAAATTTGATACCGAAGTGATAAAGGAAGACAATATAATCAATGAAGGCGAAGAAAACACAGAGCTAGAGCAAATAAGTAGAGAGACGTAATAGAAGGATTATCAAATATAAAAATAGGCAAGGCAGGTGGAGATGATGAAGTTGAACCAGAAAATGGTAAAATACATGGGAGAAGAAGAATAAAGTGGCCATGGAAAATATATAAAGAAGCGTGGGAAAAACAAACAATCCCTAAAGACTGGCAGAAATAATATCATCGTGCCAATATACAAAAAAGGAGAACATGTAAACTGCGACAACTATAAAGCAATATGTCTGTCATCGGAATGCTTTAAAATATATACAAAAATAATAGAGAAGAGACTGAGACAAGAAGTAAAAATGGTATTTGGAGAAAACAAACGGCATTTAGACCGGAAAGACAGACAAATGACAACATATATATCATTAGAAACCTAATAGAAAGAAGCATAGATACGGGAGAAAAACTAGTATTAGCATTCATAGACCTAAGAGCGGCATTTGACACGATAGAAAGACATATTATAGGGAAATGCTTGAGGAAAATAAATGTACCTAATGCATTGATAAAAAATTATAGAAAGTACTTACAAAGAGGTAAAAGGAAGGGTACAAATAACAGGGAAAGATCGGAAGCATTTAATTGGAAGAGAGGTATTAAACAAGGAGATAGTCTCAGCCCTTTGCTATTCATAATAGTAATGAACGAATTGATAAGAAACACTAGAGTCAGAACCAATCAACTACAGACAATAATAGGTTACCACAGATTACAACCGGTAACAATAGAGTCCTTAATGTATGCAGACGACATAGTACTAATAGCAGATTCAGATATGGGTAGAACAAATAGAAGAACTAAAAATGGAGATAAACGAGGAAAAAAGTAAGATAATGATAATCAGCGGTAAAGGAGATAAGGAAGATAATCAAATAAAGATAAAATGTAATAACTCAGAATTGGAAATAGTAACAACTTACGAATACCTGGGAAGTATAATAACTAATGACGGAAAAATAGACTGGAAAATAATAAATAAAGCAAAGAAATCAAACAAGTTATACTATGCGTTAGCCCCAATAATGGAAAAAAAAGTGAACACTGGACAATTCTGGAAAAACATAAGAGCAGGATAAACGCAATGAAGATGAGACATCTAAGAAGGATAGTTGGAAAGACAAAATGGGATAGATTAAGCAACGAGACTATTAGGAGAATGGCCAACCAGGAACCGATAATGAACAAAATAGCAAAGAGACAAATGTAGTGATATGGGCATATGATGAGGATGCAATCCAATAGAATAACAAGAAAAGTTTATGAAGCAAAAAAACATCGGAAAAAGAAAAAGAGGCAGACCAAGAAAAAAATGGATACAGCAAGTAGTAGAGGCGGGAAAACTTAAACAAAAATCACTCGAGGAATTGAAAATAATGGCAGGAAACAGAAAAGAATGGAAGAGGTGGGTAAATGGAAATTAAAATAGCTAGCCCAAATCCGACACCCTAATAGGGCAAAAGAAAGGGGAGAGAGAAAGAAAGACTTTTTCGTCAATAAACAATAAAGATGGAAGAACTTCCAGGACATTAACACCAAGAAAAAGAAAAAAAAGTATAAAAACATGGGAAAAAGAATGTGAAAAAAGAAGAGCTTTATTCCAAAGTTCCTAAAGAAAAACTAGTTACCAAATATAAACAGAGAACATTAATAGGAATGTTTCTAATATCGAAGAAAATCTCTGAGCAAGTTTCAAGGCTTTATAACTCTTTCTTCAAAAAAACAGAAAGGGCATAAAAATTTAAGAGAAAGAAAACTTATTGACCTCAATCAATATTAATAATGTTCCTCCTTATTTCAAGATTGTAGAATAAATGTTTAAAAATAATAATATATTCAGCTTAACAACTGACTTAGTTATATATTATGATTTTAAACAAACTCCTCAAATTAAAAGATTTAGGAAACATATTTGTCAAAGAGATTAAATTTTTCAGAAAAATATATTAAATAAACCGGTAACACTTAATGAAATTCTCAAAGTAACATTCTGTTATGCCTATTGTGTAACAACAGTTAACTTTGTCGCCAAACTTTGTTAAAAGAATGATAATGTTGCAGCTGTACTAATGACTCACAAAAAACATTTGATAGTACACACATAGAAATAACAATAGAATCAGACTGCTGAGAGTTTTTTTATTGTGCAAAGACAAGAGGCGGACAATACAGTAAGTCGGTAACGTTTTTTCTGTAAGTATTTTGAAAAATTATATCGGACTATCTACACCATATTGCTCCAATAAACAATATAAATAACAATCAAATTATATTTTAGATTTTAATTAGATGTATGGTTTTATAAGACACCGTTACATTTTCGACATTATTTGAAAGAATTCTCAAATAAAATATCTCAGAAACAAAAACATTAACACAATATACATAACATGTTAAGACATAAATAAAGATGTATATGTTTGTTTCTTAGACTACAACAAGGCCTTCGACATTGTACATCAGAAAACGTTAACACAGACTCTTAAAAATAGAAATATTGACTCAAGAGATATTAGAATATTAGAGTTATTAGAATATATTCCGAAAATATATTCAGAAAAGCACTTTTAAAAGAAAATCTAGTATAAAAATTAGTGGCGTACCCATATGTGATATCTGATACACTAATGACACGAGAACATTACTGATCTTCAAAAATTTTGGATAAGAAAGCTAAGCCCATTGTAATTAAAAATAAATATATTCCAAATAGTGATCTCCGCGTGAAAAACAAAGTTGTATAACAAATACAAAACTAGCTATTTGAGGACATCATAAATGAAACAGGTGACTATTCAAGGGAAATAAGGATAAGCATCGAAAAAAACAAGAAATATATTCAAAAAGATTATAGAGATATATAAGTACGAATTCTATGGTGTTATGTCTTTCCGGTTCTATTGTATGGTGCTGAGTCATGGACTTTTAATACGTTGAAAGCTTTTGAAATGTGAACATACCGAAGAATTTTAAAAATATTTTGAATATATAGAGTAAGCAATGAAGAAAACATGCGCAAAAAGAACAAAGACAATGAAATATAGTATACCGTCAACAAAAAGAAAAAATCATGAATGTATTGCTTGTGTGAGTCCATTTCAAATAGGTAAAGAAATAATAAATAAGACTACTCACAATCAATTTAATTTAACTATCAGATGACCGATTTCGCTTTCTACAATATGCAAAGCATCTTCAGGTCTCGATACAAAGTTAAATAAATGCTGAAATGATAAAAAACCCATATTAGGGTGTTGTCTAATTAAGATTAAACAAAGTAGATGTTGAAAATTACAATAATTATGCCAATATTACATGTCTGTGGTTTTATTTCAAAAAGAGTAATGTTGAATAAAAAGCTATAAAAAGTTTTAAAAATTTTTAAACAGACAAGGTAAGGCCCACAAATTGTTATAAAATAGTCTATTAGATTGTAATAAATTAATAATAATATTAATATTAATTTATTTTAAATTAAATTTAACTATTATTATTATTATAATTAAACTATTTTATAACAATTTGTGGGCCTTACCTTGTCAGTTTAAACTTTTTAAAACTTTTTATAGCTTTTTATTCAACTTACTCTTTTTGAAATAAAACCACAGACATGTAATATTGGCATAATTATTGTAATTTCCAAATTTCAGCATTTATTTAACTTTTAATCGAGACCTGAATATGCTTTGCATATTGTAGAAAGCGAAACCGGTCGTCTGATAGTTAAATTAAATTGATTGTGAGTAAGTCTTATTTATTATTTCTTTACCTATATTAAAGAAAAAAAATTGTAAATTTCAATATTTGGGGCATACAAACATTGGTGAAAAATACGACATCCCATAGTTGATCAAACAGGATAAGATTAAAGATAAACGTTTTCCCTTCCAAACATTAAAAATTTAAATGGATTCTTCGTAAATGTGAGTAAAATATAACATCAACTATTTTGTTACAAGATCCGATTTACTAATTTACTAGCCCCCCAATTCAAAAAAGGTCTCAAATTCATTCTTTATAAGACCAAATCCAAACAATCTGTAGTATCACAAGTAAATATTCCTGTAGTACTGATGACTATCCATAAAAATGTTCTCAAATCTCCCAAAAAATGTGTTGAAAGTCCTGGTCTCACTAATTAATGATTCCTTTAAAAAATGTATATTTTCAGAGTGCCTAAGGCAGGTATTATTATTTATCTTTATAAGGGTGGTGAAAAATTGAATGCTTGTAACTATAGATCTATTGCCTTACTACCGGTATCCAAAATTTATAAAGAGACTTATAAAAGCCCGACTTTATTATGTTCTTACTCGTTGAAAACAACTTTTTATCACAAAATCAGTTTTTATCTAATAAATGTAATAGTGATGCTATGTTCTTTTTACTACATGAAGTTTAACAAGCACTAAACAATATTTACACTATCACTGTTTTTTTTATTCCAAAGCTTTTGATTGTGTAAATGACGACATTTTAATAACAAAACTGA